AGCACTAGGGATAAGCATCTATGACAGGAGCGGTGGGTGATCAGCACACAGCAGGCTATGACAGTGTGGGGTGGGGAAATTTGGATATAGGAGCAAACTTGTATTCTTTCACAACAGACAAAAGTTTCTCTCGTACCTTAATGGAGGAAAAAGTAAGATGTAAAATATCGTATGCAATTCCTAAGCCAATGCTGAACCAAGTTAAACTTTTCTAGGAATAATATTTACATCAGTGTAAGGTACCCTGTAGTGACAAACTTTCTATAATGAGGCTACTCTGTTTACTTTGCCTATTCTGAGTGATTAGAGTGCTAAGAAACACTCAGGTAAATCAGTACTCATGAAAATAAAGAGCATTGGGTCAATATTTAGACTCATTTGGATTATGTTCATTTAAAGATTTAGAATGTTCAGACTATTTTTAAGCAAAATACACAATTTGAAAAATTGATGAGTTCACTTGGCTCAGAGAGTTATTAGGTTAAGGAAAATAGTTTTCAAAAAGTCAGAATGATCAAATTTGCACAATGATTAGAATATTATAAAAAGAAATGGGATGTATATAATTTCTAATGAATTAATTTGCATTACCATGTTTCTTTTTTTAAAATAAGTATTTATTGACTTTTGGTGAGGTAAACTTGATTTTTCATCAAAGTTCTTTTTGCATTGTTTTCTAAAGCAATTTTTAATTGAATATATATCTTTTATACTAATGCTTTTATAAACATTATTTGTTTAGTTACTGGAAATTTAAATATATTTCTCTCCCAAAGAGCCTACTATATCTGATTATGTAAATTCAATGTAATTAAAAAATTTTAAATTTACAGTTAAGATAATCAAATAAAGATAATTGAATTATGTGAAATTTTTTTTCAGGTATGAAAAATGAAGAAGTGGCTAGTTATATTGGGAACAAATGCAATTTTAGCATAAAAGAAAAATAGTTGAGTGAGTATATATTATAATACAAGAAAACTTAATAAGTGCTTTAAAATAATACTAGGCCTAGATAGCTGCTACTTAATATTTATCTAACATTATGTCTTTTGT